GTAGGAGGGAGCAGGGACGCTGGTGGGGCTGCAGCATCCCTTGTAAGGTGAGGTATTTTCCAGCATGCAGTGAACCATGGGTGCAATGATAACAGGCCTGTTCCTGCCTTCAGCCCAGCTGCTGAGAGAGGCACGTGGCACTCACCTTGCTCATCCTTAATGGCATCCACGAGGAATCGGCATTCCTCCTGGATGCGCTCCTCCACGCTCCTCTTCCCCAAGCCAAAGTTTCGGAGGGTGGTCAAGGTGAACCTCCTCTGTGCCTTCCACAAGTGCCCACTGGAGTTGATCAGTCCTGGCAGAAACAGCCCCCTGTGAGCCAAGGCCGATCCCCCAGGGAGTGGAAAAGCTCCAGGGCTCTGCCTTCTCCCCAGCTGTCTCAGACCTCTGCAGGGCCAACACCTGGACCTTCCAGCTGAGGTGCATGTCCTGAGGGATCACTCACCTATCTTGCCGAATATATCCTTGTCAATAGGCATTTCTGGTCGCTCAAGGAAGTCTTCCCCTTGGTTTACAAGCACTTCCTTAACCAGCCGCATCCCATTTACCATCACAAACCTCTTGCTGCCCATGGACATGCCGAAGATGTCACCATATTTTTCAGTAAGCTGGGTGAGGAAAAAGATAAAGTGGATTTCATTTGAAGTGAATATGTCTGTTGGGACAGTGACAGCCCTGTCGTAGGGCACAGGTAAAATTAAGGGAAGCTGAGAGTGGGAGAGGAAACAGAATTTGTGCACAAATCTCTGCCTGACTGCAGACTGTTTTTTCTTTTCTGAATCATTGATCAGACTTGGTGTTATTTGGCCATAAAGGAAGTAAACCTCTCAAGGTTTGATTTTTCAGACCTACCTTTATCCATGTTTTGTTCTGCTCCCTTCCCAGACACCCTTCCAGCCCCGAACTCAGTCCTTCAAGGCTCTGACAGCTGCGACAGCAACTCTGGGATCATGTTGTGCCCTTCATCCCAGGGATCACTGTACACTTGTGCCCCACCTTGTACCCAGGTAAATGTCACTTATGATGACAAACCTCCTTCCTGGCCCATGGAATCTAGTTTAACCCTTTCCCTGGAGCTGCAAATCCCTCTGTTCCTTCCACCACAGTGTCCACCACGCCCATACCTTCTTCACTGAGCTTATGGGATCTTTGAAGTCCACCGAGTAAAGGTGCCCTACAAAGGGAAGGCGTAAAGGGGTGGGAGGGAAGTTCTTTGGGTTTCTGTTCTTCATGTAATCGGCGACAAATAGGAAGACAACGAGGCAGATGAGGAGTGTAGGGGAGGAGATGCTATCCCAGAGAAAGTGCAGCATGGCTGGATGGGTGTGCTCCCCAGGGATGCCTCCCACGGAACGTCAGCGCAGACTGAGCTCCCAGGGCACCACTGAATCAATCCCCAAGGACACGGCCAGAGGGGTGATGTGCCGGCTCTGTGGGCACAAACAGAAGAGAGCAC